TCCTTTTTTTTAGGATGTACCCTTTTTCCTCTATCCCAGTATCTCAGCTGCTACTCCTTAGGAAGGAAAGAAATAAGAATTTATTAAGGGCCTACTACATGTCACACACTTCACAAATATAATGTGATTCTTACAACAATCCAGGAGATAAGATATTGTTATTATCCCTATTTTACAATTGAGGAAACTGAGGCAAACAGAGGCCAAGTGACTTGGCCAGGGTAAAACAGCTAGTAAGTATCGGAGGCCGTATTAGAACTCACCTGTTCCTGACTCCAGGCCCAGCTTCTCTATCTACTGCATCATCCTAGCTAATACTCATCCTACCCTAAGGCAAAGAGAACTCCTGCTGCCCCAGTAGCTATCTGTTTTTAATTCCTTATGTCCCTGTAAACTCCAGGAGGGCAAGAACTGTGTCTTATCTAAACATCTAGGACAGGGCTTTTCATGAAGTGAGGGCTTAATAAATGTTTAATGAATGAATAACCAACACTCACTTAAAGCTTCCACCATAATCACCAGTAAAGACTGGAAAAGCAGTTGGGGTGGCTAGCAGGGGGACTTTCCTGTGCATCTGCAGCTCTCCCTGGTTTTAAGATACTTCTGCCAAGTTAATCTCATCACCACACAGCTAACTCAAACCTTGATTGACACCACTTCTCCCCTCCTAGTGGAGGGCTGGAAGGTAGAGTACCAAACTCTTCCCACTATTTTCCTTCATAGACAGCAGAAACTGGACTCAGCTCCCTCTGCTTTGCATCTACTGTTCCTTTGGTTTCCACTTCTTGGAACATCCCTGCACCTGGTACCTCCAGGTCTACCCCATCCCCACCCCCACCCCTGCTTTCCGGCCTCTTTTGTGTGTTGTCTTCTTCCCCCCTCCCCCCACTAGATTATAAGATCTTTGAAGGCGGGGACTGTCTTTCTTTTTATTCATTGTATCCCCATTGTACCCTTAGTACAGTGCCTGGCACGTAGTGGGCACTTAATAAATGTTTATTGGATTAATTGGAATTACTTTGCCTAGTTCGCACATATTTAACCACAAACTTTTTCATTACAAAAAGGAAAGATGATTTTTATAGGCTAAAGTCTGCTGCCACTTTCACTTTTTTTTTGAATTAGGGAAAGGACTTGGTTTTACTGAAACATTAACATTTGTGGGCTAAACTCTGTGCACCAAAAAGAAAGCATCTAAATTTAGCTCATGCTCCTGTTATTTACGGGTAGCTCTAGGACATACATACAAGTTCCAGCACATGTTTGTATCATTGCTTCTTAAGATGCACCTGAAGATTCACATTTTAAAGATGATTTTCTTCCTACAGGAAAGGCTGGGCTCACACACAGGGTACCTTTGATATGAAGAGAACTGGGAACTCTGCCTCTCCCCCCAGCCCCTCCCAACACACACATAAACTTCTGAAAATCTGTTCCTCACCAGACAGCTATAAGGAATGAAATTCCTCTTTAAAATGTAAATCCCTTTTGTAGGGGGAACTAGTCAAGGTCCAAATGCCCATTTCAGATCTATCTACCTCTGTGACTACAGGGTCTGAGATTAGTATGAAGACCCTGGTGTCCTGAGGCGGACCTAAAGGGAGAGAAAGGGCCCCAGAGGAGGAGATTGAGGCAACAAAGACAAACTTTACAGTCTTGGCCTCTTCTATGGCCAATCAGGCTAGCCTACAGGCTTAGATTAGTGGGGTCGCATGCATTTGGGATTTAACTCATTTTTTTTAGGTTCATTACAAGAAAAGAAGAAGAAAAAGGGCTAGAAAATAATAGATAACCTAACATATGACATTTTAAAATTGTGAACAGCTTTACATACATTCTCTTATCTGATGCTCATGATGACCTTGTGAAGTTCTACCATATAGCTTATTTATAATTACAGTACACTGAGGAAATCATCTTTGGAAAATAAAGAACAGATTTGTAATTCTCTCTCTCTCTCTTTCTTTCTCTCTCTCTTCCTTGTTCATGAGATAAGAGAATAGATGTCTGTAGTAAGTAGTAAAGTATTATCCCCATTTTACAGATGAGGAAAATAAGGCCCAGAGAGGTGTTGTGACTTGTCCTGGCCCACACTTCTAATAAGTGCCTGAGGCAGGATTTGAACCTAGATTTTCCACATTGCAGAGCCAGGACTCTAGCTATGCCAACATGTTATCAGAACTGAGGGGAAGCCAAATGAAGGTGAAATGGAAAGACAGCAAAACTTGACATCGCAGGCCCTGAGTCTGTATGCTGGTTCTGCCACTTCCTACCTGTGTAACCTTGAGCAAATCACTCGACCTTGCTGGATCTTAGTTTCCTCATCTATCAGATGAAGGGGTTAGACACAGAAGGCCTTAAAAGTCTCTTTTAGCTTCATGTCTATGATCCTATGAGGATATCATGTCTTTTGCCCTACCCTCCTCCCCCAGCCAACATTGGTGAATCCATTTTTGTATTATTCCTTTAGTGAATATAAGTTATTCTGTCATTCTATGGCCCTTATTTCATATAAAAAACAATTTGGATCAATGCTAAGTCTCTACTGCACATAGGAAGTTGGGAGAAGAGCAATTTACTGTATGGTACAGACAATGTAGCTGAGTAAACCAAGGCACCAAAATGAATTTGTGTTCATGAATTACCCACAGAAGCCATCTAGAATAGCCAAACTCACTGGCCAATGGCCAAGTCACCAATCTATTTTGTGGAGACTCAGGTGCATGAAAGTTAGACAATTTATTAATTATAGAGAAATGGAAACAGCCATAATAAAAGCATTTCCCATTGTATAAGACTTGGTATTAAAACGCACATAAATTTTCATAAATATTACATCTGTGCTCACTGACTGACTGATCTTGACCATATGCCTATGAGGTAGACAGGGCAGTTATTATTCCTATTTGAAAAATAAGGAAATGGAGGCTAAGAGAAGTTAAATGCCCAAGATCACAGTGATTTGATGAAAGAACCCTGAACTCAGGTTTCCTGATTTCCAGTCTAATTTTTACCCCACTACCCCACAATCTAATTCTTGCTCTGAGTCAATGGACTAGCAGAAAGAGAGCACATCCACGGGAGAAGTAAGACTATAATCCAGGACCCCTGGTCCTAGATTTATGCTGTAAGTCCCTTTCCCCTCCCAATGGAATATGAAACTTCAGCAATATATATTACTTTCCTTTGAAAAGTTATGATTTCAGTAAGTATTCTGCTTCTATGCATTTTTAAATGCAGCTTATTATAGCATTAGTCAGCCAAAAAATGATGGCCACTGGTGGTATATAATAAGGTGAAGGTATCATTGATTTGCAATATTGAAGCCACAAAGAGAATTGCCAATGGCATTCTCCTATAACAGTCTCTGAGATTAGGTACAGAATATAAAAGTTGGAAGGAACATTGGATATCATTCTACTCCAGTCCCTATCTGAACAGGAATTCCCTCTAGGATAGGGAGGGCAGCAAACTGTAGAAGAAAAACTGCTGGATTTTAATTCAAAGCACCTGGGTCCCTGTTCAGCTAACTGTGTGACTAGTCAAATCACTTAGCTTCTCTAAATCTTGGTTTTCTCATCAATAAAAATGAGGCAACTTGGGGCAGCTAGTTGGTGCAGTGGACAGAGCACTGACCCTAGATTGAGGAGGACTTTAATTCAAATCTGGCCTCAGACACATAACACTTACTAGCTATGTGACCCTGGGCAAGTCCCTTAACACCCATTGCCCAACAAAAACAAACAAACAAACAAAAAATGAGGCAACTGGACCAAATGATCTATAGGGTCTCTCCTAGCTCTAACAGCATATAATATCATCCAGGTCATAAGGACCAAAGGGATCATAGATCTAGAATGGGAAGGGCCCTCCAAAGTCAACTAGCCCAACCTCATTTTACATTGAAGAAACTGAGATCCGGGGAAATTAAGTAAATTGTTCAAGGTCATATAGGTAGTAAACATCAGAGGTGGAATTCATTTATTTCAATTCAGACATAGTCAGACTTTAATTTCTTTTTTGTTGTTATAGACATTTTTTTTTACTTTCATTTACTTTCATTTCATTTCTTTTGATCATTCAAAATTTTTCAAGGTAGTAATATCATGCTGAAGGCAATATAATAGAGTTAACAGAGAGTTGACCTTGGGATCAGGAAAATTTGAGTTCAAGTCCCATCTCTGACACCTACACACATGTGACCCTTAAGAAGACACTAAAATTTTTGGTATTATTGCAAATTTGTATTGGTAGAGGGAAGTTCCTAATTTGGCATTCCCAATGACAATGAAATCACAGATCTAGATCTCCTCAAAATCTATTATAACATCTTTGCATTTAAAGGAATCATTAATATTTAAAGGGTAGAGAAGCTGAAAAGAAACTTGGCTTTACCTAAAGCCAACCCGCTGATTTTACGAAGTTATCTTTATTTGTTGACTGCGCCATCTTGGCATCAGATTTGACCCTTGATTCTGCCAAGAATCAGATGGAAAGTTTCAGAAGACCAGTCTGGCTCTTAGCATTCTAGGCATGCTTTACAATTCTGACAAGCAACCAGTCAGCTGGTCTGCACCATTCCAAAGAATACATTTTGACTGATCTTTCCTCTCTATGAATTAAGCAATTGTTTCAACATGTATCAGCCTTACTGTAACACCCTTGAGTTAACTGAGTTTATCAGTTGTTCTAGTCTCAGAAGACGAATTTTACAGCAATTCAAATGTAACAAAAAGACTCATGTTACCAGAGGAATCTTTATGAAGAGCTATTCCAAAGCCCTCATTTTACAGATGAGGAAACTGTAGCACAGAGAAGGGAAATGACTTGTTGAAGGTCATACAGCAAATAAATGACAAGCCCAGTAGCTGAATTCAAGTCTCCTGATTCCCTAGCCCACAGATCTTTCCATTATCCCAATACTTCTATTTTCCTTTACAATTCAGATAAGGCATTTCCTTTCCTGACAGCCCCTTTCCCTTTGGGGTATTCACATTTACCTAATGCCTTCATGTAGCCTTCGAAGTTGTCATTGCTCTCCATTTCCCAGGTTCCAGTAAAGTCAGTAGGCATTGTGGCTGGTTCAGATGCTGATTTAGGTTGGAACAGATGTCAAGCTGTAGAAACAAGAGCTGTAAGGAGAATGAGTTAGAAGGTGCTATTTTATATCCTGTTAGAATACAGTTTATGGCTTTGGAAATAGATAAGAGAGTTCGAGGGTCAGAAGGACAATCTCCAAAGAACTTTACTTTTATTAGCAAAGTTCAGTGGGACTTTCCGTGAATGAAGAACACAGTTGGAGAAAGAGTCACCAAGGGAAGGTCTTGGTTCATGCAGTGACCCTTGAAGAGGGCTGCCATAGCTCCTTTGGCTATCTTTTGCTGTCTGTGTTCTCATAAGGGGCTCTTTTAAGGCATAACTTGGAACATTTTGTCTGGTACTTGAGGTAAAAAAAAAAAGTTTAGAGTCTATACTGCGTGGTCATGAGGGCAAATGTTTTACTTTGGACTACCAGGCAATGACAACCCCCATGGGCATGAAGTCATATATCAAGATTTGAAGTACCCTATTGAATCAACACCCAATTGGATGAACAAATATCTATAAAGCATATAATGTATGTGTCTAAGGATATGGAGTTTAAGACACAATCTACCCCCTCAAGTAGAATTCAATCTGAGAAAACAAGACACATACGCACGCACGCATGTGCACGTGCACACACACACACAGAGTGAGAGAGAGAGAGAGAGGATAATTCACAATAGGAATGTCAAATGAATAAATCAGTGCATAAATGCTTTAAGAGTCACAAGAGAGAAAAGTCCCTGTGGGCTGGTTAATCAAGAAAAGCTTTACAAAGGAGATAGGATTTCAACTGTTCCTTCTGCACCTAGTAGTTGCTTCCACATTTGTTAAACAAATGGAATGGAATGGAATGATAGATGAGGAAGGAGGGAGTCTAAGGAAGGTACACCAGTCAGGGGAAGTATAAATGAAGGTAGCAGGAATATACAAGTACATCCATAGGACAATAGGCGGACAGATCTGGCTAGAAGACAGAGTTCATGTAGGGGAGTCATGAAAGATGTTTGGAAGGAGAAGTGGGCTGCCTAGATAGCTAGGCGGTAGAGTAGATAGAGCGCTAAAACTGAAGTTAGGAAGATTTGAATTCAAATCTGGCTTCAGATATTTACTAGCTGAGTAATCTTAAGCAAGTTGGTTAACCTCTGCCTGCCTCAGCTTCCTCAACTGTAAAATGGTGCTATGATAGTACCAACCTCACAGAGTTGTTCTGAAAATCAAATGAGATGATTATCAGGATTAAATGAAGTAATATTTGTGAAGCTGTCTGTGTGCTATGTGGCACATAGCAGGTGCTTAATCAGTGTTTATTTCCTTCCTTTCCAATGAATCAGTGATAGGCAAAGTAAGAATTTTATTTAATCCTATAGGCAAAGGGGAGCCATTAAAGGTTTGACCAATACAGTGACATAATTCAAGTGATTTGTGAGAATTAATCTAATAGCTGTAAGGAAGCTATTGACATGATCCAGGCAGGAGAACTACAGTGACCATCAGAAGGACTTTTGTTGAGTTGTGTAAATCTCAGTGCTAGATATTTCTGAACAAAATGTAGAATGTGTCCCATCAGAGCTATGATTTTTAATTTTTCTTTTCAGGAAAGGGGTGAATTAATTGTCCCAGTAGCTGCTTCTATGAAAAACAGTACATGAATAGTATTGCAAGTCACCATTCTTCTAAGTTTACTATAAGGAGAAGATGGATTGAATTTGAATAAACAAGATTTTAAGTAGCTGGGACCAAACTCAATTACTACTTTGAATGGGCCTTATACTTCACATCTCTAAACATAGTGATCAAATATCATAGCTCTAAGAAATCTATGGTAATATATGCTAATTGTTGGGAAACTGTACTGAAGGGAATGTAAAACAATGTATTCATTTTGTAGTAAACAGTTATTTGAGTGAGGTAAAAGCAGGGGAGAAAAAAATGCCCAGTTGTTCAGAAATAGAATCAAAATGTGGCTAAGAAAGTTAAGATGACACAGTGGGTAAAGCACCGGCCCTGAAATCAGGAGGACCTGAGTTCAAATTCGGCCTCACACCAAACACTTGACACTTACTAGCTGTGTGACCCTGGGCAAGTCACTTAACCCCAATTACCTAAAAAAAAAAAAAAAAAGGTAAGTGCAAGCAGAGAAGATGATAAAGGCTTAGCCACAAACTGAAAAACAAGTGATAGGCAGAAGTGGACAGAGAAACATGTTGTAAGAATACATACCTGGGCATCTTCAAAGCCCAATACCAAACTGACTCATAAAAGAGAAAAATGACAACATCTGTTACAGAAAATTTAAAAGTTTCTACATTAACAAAATCAGTACAGTCAGAACAAGGAGAGAGGTCGTTAAGTAGGGGGGAAAACCTTTGGAAGAATTATCTCTGAGTCAAGGAATTAACAAGGACATAGAAAGGCAAAAGCCATTTCTCAATAGATAAATGATATTGGGAAAGAGTGAAGGCAAAAGAAGAAGAAGAAGATGGCAGAGGATAAGATGGATAGATAGTGTCATGGAAGCAACGCACATGAGCTTGGACAGACTTCAGGAGATAGTAGAGGATAGAAGGGCCTAATATGCTATGGTCCATGGATGGATGTGACCAAACAACTGAACAACAACAAAGTTGTCAAAGGATAGAACATTTTCAAAAGAAGAATTGCAATCTATCAAAAATTATAAGAACAATGCTCCAAATTGTGAAAAAGATAAATGCAAATGAAACCACTCTGAGGCATTACTTCCTACCTATCAAAGTGGCAAAAATTACAAGATGTGGAAACAGGAATTATGGAAAGATGGCCATGTTAATAAATTATGGGTGTAAAATTAATCTAGGAAACAATATGAAATAATGCTAAGAAAGTGGCTAAAATGTTCATACTATTTAACTCAGAGATTCCATTACTGACACATACACTAAAGAGGTCAAAAATAAGAAGAAAGGTCTTTTATACATCAAAATGTTTATAGCAGCACTTCTTAAAGTAATAAAGAACTGGAATAGAAGCAAAAGCCTATTGGTGGGAAAATAGATAAACAAATTGTGATATGTGAATGGAATGGAATATTGCTGTAGGTAGCTCAAGATGGATAGATAATGTATTAAATTCATAATATGTATCCCAACAGTGTAACTAGTAAGAAAATGATTGTGAAGACTACCGAGAAGCATGGGAAGATATGAACTGATGCAAAGTTGAAGTAAGCAGAACCAGAAAAACAATACACATAATGACAATAATAATGTAAATGGAAAGAATGGCAGCAATAACGAACCAATGAAACAGATAAATCCAAACCGAATCCTGTGAAATTATAATAACCAACCCTTGCCCTGAGGAAGTGATCTGAAAATATACATTCTTCCCTTCTCTGCTGAAGAGGGGAACTATGGGTGTGGAACAGTACATATACTATTGAACTTGGTTTACATGTTGGTTAACTTTGTTGAACTGATTTTCCTTTTTAAAAATTATTTCTTATCAAGTATGGTTTGATAGTAAGGGAAAGCGGAGGGATATTTTGAGAAATAAAGGTAATATAAAGTTAAAAGATAGGAACATTTAAAAATTTACTATTGGTAGAATTGTGAATTGGTCTATGCATTCTGAAATACAATGTGGAATTGTTCAATAAATGTCACTAAACTGTTCATTCTTTTTGACTCAGTGCTGCTATAATTGGGCTTATACCCCTAGAGTGGCCAAAGACAAAAAGAGAGACACTATGTACACCAAACTATTCCAACATTAGTCTAAATGTAGACCTTTGACTGAATCCATTTAATTCAACAAATCCTTTTATTAAGGGGATTTGTTCTTTGAAGTTTGGATTCAGTCAAGGGACTACACTTGAGGACCTAGAGGGCTACAAGTGACCTTGAGGGCATAGATTTTCTACCCTTATTGAAGACATAGTCCAAAAGATTGAAAAAGAGATAAATTACCCATATGTACAAAAATGTTTATAGTAGCTCTTTTTATGATGGCAAAAAACTGGAAGCTGAGGGGATGCCAATCAATTAGACAACAGTTAAACAAATTATGATCCATAAAGTGCTCTAAGAAATGATGAAACAGTTTCAGAAAAATCTGGGAAGATTTGTATAAACTGATTCACTGTAAAAAGTGAAGTGAGCAGTACCAGGAAAACAATTTATGTGAGAACATTGTAAAAATGAAAAATTTTGAAAGATTTAAAAAAATTTCTGATCAATTCATGATCAACCATGATTCCAGAGGACTAATGACGAATGGTACCTACTGCCTAATGGATACGTGATGGACTAAATGTGCAAAATGAGATACACATATTTGGATATAGCCAATATGGGAATTTGTTTTACTTGCCTATGTATATTTATTTGTGCCAAGGGTTTTCTTTTTCTTTTCTCTTTTTTTTTAGGAGGGAGGGAGGTTGATAAGAGGGAGAGAAAATAAATGCTTGTTAATTGAAAAAAATTAGAGAAAATTTAGCTGAGAAAGGGAGGAGAGATATTGGACTAGCAGGGACAATATATAGGATGAGATACAGGACAATAGCTAGCAGTATTTAGTGAGGAAGGAATGGAAAGAAATAGACTTTTTTAGGCAGTAGAAAAGAAGCCAGTAGATAAGGAGAGATTGAAGAATCAAGGGGAGGATGACAGTGGGGACAACCTACCAGTGAAGATAAGAAGGGAGGAGATCAAGAGTACTTAAAGGGATTGGCTTGGCAAGGAGAAGGGCCACTTCTTTCTTCATCAGAAACTAGAGTGAAATAGGAGATAGTGAAGATTATGTCAGAGGGATGCAATATGAGCAGAAGGGGAGAAAAGGGAGCTCACAGAGAACAGCTTCAATTTTTGAAGCAACATATGACTTAAAGTCCTCAGCAGAGAGGGTTGCTATGGGAGGCTTGAGGACAGAAGTTTGGAACAGATGCTATGTGGAGTGTGATAGAGACTCAATCAGGGATTGAGGATTGCCTTGCTATAGAGAGAGCT